AATAACTTAGAAAATTTTTCTTTTTTGTTATGACTATGAGACATGTCGGCTCCTGGCAGTACCAATCTACTTCAGAGAAAATATGGGCATTGAAGAAACTGCATATGGAGTTAACTTTCATTGTGGCAAAAGTTAGCCACTGGACAACAAAGTATCCTCGAATCAACAGGACAAAATGGACAGACAGGACATAAAACAAAGGATTACTGATTCTTGCCAAAACAAGTGTGGTTATGGCTTTATCAAAAGGCATCTTCTGAGGCCAGGACAATATGGCACCATCCCTGAAGTGGCCTTCGCAATTCGAAAAAGGTACAGTGCCCTTTTCTTCGAAGGCAGCTGAACAGGCAGTGGGCCGATGGCCTCTGATGTGCAATGGAACAGCAGCTGAAACAGTTATTCTTGAAGAGTAACTAAGCTCACACCTCTCAATAGTAGACTGGCATTTGATGGAGGGATATGGAGAAGAATGGGATGCTGAGATGAAGCCATATATACACAGCCAAGAAGAATGGACAGCTGAATTAAAAAACCATCAACAATTTCCAGAATTTAAAATCCTGAATCAGGACATGACACTAGTGGAATTCAGGTGTTTCTGGTACATGGACTACTCTCACTCAATGTGAGGTTGAACTGTTGACTTTGTGTACATCCTACTTCACAAATGAGTCTGTCGGATATGCTGGGCCTATAGGCTGAAGATGATGCCCCAGCACTTCGGAGAAACCTCAGGTGACTGTCCAGACAGCTGTCTGTTTCTGTCAACTCACAAATTTTTTGGAAGTTGCTTATGTGCACTTCCTGTTTTTATTTTTATTAGCTAATATTATTTCCTTCTTGGGTCTCTGAGGGAGTTGAAGATTAGTTAGTTATAGTTGAAGATTAATTAGGATACATTTTGGACTTACCAAAATAGGATAGATAATGAAATTATTTTCTCTGAATTTGTCAAATACAAATGGACTAGACATTGTTTAGGTATTTATTACTTGTATATATTGTATATAGTTATTGTACTTTTGTATATAGTTTTTCTTATATTAGTTATAAGCTTTTTCTTTTTTTTCCTTTTTATTAAAATAGAAAAGGGGAAATATGGTGATATTTTATTTGTATTAAAATATTATTTGTATGTTAATAAATAAAGTTGCCCGGGGGTCAGAGCTATTAGCAAGCCATAGGAAAGCAGGGCAGTGGTAGCGTACGCTTGTAATTCCAGCACTTGGTAGGCAGAGCTGGGTAAGTCTCTGTGTGTTCAGGGATACAGCCATTATTGGATACACATGCTTTTAATCTTAATACCAATCATGGAAAACCTGGAGGCCTATACAGACAGGCTGTGAGGAGGCAGTCATGTGGTTGGGTTTACAACCAATGAGAAGGCAGGACAGGAACTCTATATAAAGACTTTAACACAGGGGTAGCTCTGGTTCGGAGAGGTAGGACCACCGCAGGAGGAAGGGTAAGGTTTTAGCTCTTAGCTCTGACCTCTTGGCTTTTTTCTTTGCATTGGTTCTGTGTTTATTATTTAATAAGAAGGTTGGATACATCTACAGACAGTGTTGTAGAAGATTATTTTAAGGTGTGTTACTTTTGTTTATGCTGTGGAACATTTGCTTTAATGATGCAAAGATGTGTTGCATTTTTTTTATGTTGCTTTTGTTTAACTCTGTGAGGCTGTGGTTCTTTGCCTGTCTAAAACACTCCATGGTCTAATAAAGAGCCGAATGGCCAATAGCAAGGCAGGAAAAAGGATAGGTGGGGCTGGCAGGCAGTGAGAATAAATAGAAGGAGAAATATGGGGAAAAAAGAAGGAGCAAGAGAGCAAGCAGAGGAGGATGCTAGGGGCCCAACCACTGAGCCACCCAGCCACCCAGCCAGCCATGGGGTAAGAGTAAAAGTAAGATATACAAAAGTAAGAAAAGGAAAAAGCCCAGAGGCAAAAGGTAGATGGGATAATTTAAAGTTAAGAAAAGCTGGCTAGAAATAAGCCAAGCTAAGGCCAGGCATTTATAATTAAGAATAAGCCTCCATGTGTGACTTATTTGGGAACTGGGTGGTGGGCCCCCCAAAAGAGTAAAAGAGCAAAAGCAAATAACAACACAGTGTTCTTTTCTTGGTCTCAGGTAAATGCCCTTTGGTCTGAATTCTACTTTGTTGGATGTCAAGATGGTGGCCATGCTTTAAAATATTTTTATTATATTTGTTTATTTATTTTGTATGTGTGGGTGCATGTGGAGGTCAGAGGAGAACTTGTGGGTCCCAGGGATTGAGCTCAGGTTGTCAGGCTTGGTGGAAGGCACCCTGAGCTGTCTTCTGGGCTCAGCAGGATTCCTTTTTACCTGTTATTTGCCTATTGCACCTTTCAGCTGCGTTTTCCATTTCATATCCTTTTGTTTTATAATGTTTTTATTAATCTTTTGAGAATTGCATACACATATTTTGATTCTATTCCTCAACTCTTCCCAGATCCTTCCCTCGCTCTCTACCCACCCAACCTCATGTTCATTCTTTCCCCTTAAAAAACTTTTTCTTTTTGCCTTTGTAAATCTCAATTTTTAAAAGCGTATGATATATAGCATACTATTAGAGTTTTGGCCTTTTTATTTTAAACCAATGCAGATATCTTTTTCTTTTAATAGGAGAGTAGACCCCAATTACATTGATTGACATGACTTACATGCTGTGTCTGACTTCAGTTCTGGTACAGTGTGTTGTCATATATACCATGATATACATGTGCATCTGCACCTGTTTAAATATCAGTAATTTCAGTTTTGTTCTTCTGGTATTCATGAAGGTTATGATTTCGCCATTAAAAAAAGATTTGTTTACTTTTATTTTCTGTGTGAGTGTCTGGCACCCATGGAGACCAGAAGAATGGACAGTTGTGGTCCGCCATGTGAATGCTGGGAAATGAGCCTGGGTCCTCTGCGAGAGCAGCCAGTGCTCCTAACTGTGGAGCCAGCTCCCCAGCCCATGTCTTTGTTCCTGTATACAGCACTGTTCGTCCCCTGTGTTTTGACTATTTTCTGTCTGTTCTCTGCTCAGCAGCGTTAGAATTAGCAGGCGAACTCCCCTTCTTTCCTCTCTGTGTCCCCCAGTATGTGACCTGAAGTAACACCCAGCTTTCCTTTTCTTTTTTCGTGGTGACTAGCAGGCTTGGTTTTATGTCTTTTTCTTCCTTTTTCTGTCCTCCCTCTCCCGAGGGTGTCGCATCTGTGTGTGCACACATGCATGTGCACACATGCATGCACACACACATTCATGTGGAGGTCAGAGGTCAAACTCAGGTTCCCTAGGAGCCATCCACCTAGTGTCTGTCACTGGGACCTAGAGCTCAGTAATCAGGCTAGGCTGGAAGCGCCAGGGATTCACTTGCTTCTGTGTTGGGGGTTACATGTAAGCACCACCATACCTGGTTTTTCAAGCTGGTGCTGGGGATCGAACTCAGGGCCTCATGCTTGTGAGGCAAGCGCCTAACTAAATGAGCTATCTCTTGACTGCTTTCCATCTTTGTTTAGCTGTGGCCTCCTGTCCAGTCTCCCTCACATTCATTTGCTTGTGGCTTCATGCCTGCTGCCCATCCTGGTGTTGATGGCCGTCTCAGGCACTTTTGTTGTCTGAAGTCGGTTTTCTGGTAGGTTCTTCAGGAAGAGCTCATGGCTGACACTGTCTGTAGCCTTCCCACCTGGGCTGTTGTGGGTTCCATTCTTCCATGAGTGTTCAGGATACTTCTCCCAGAGAAGAACTGACCTGTGGCCCCACATGAAGAGTTGTGCTCTGGTGACCTGAAGCCCAAAGATTTTTTTTTTTGCATTTGAAGTCCGGGACTTCCGGGGCTCGTGAGCGTTGTTGTGAAGCTGTCCACAGAGGGCGGAGTTTTCAGAGGTTCTAACCCAGGGACATTCTGGAGTTCCCCGTCTTTGCATTAGTGTGCTTCATGGACTGCATGTGCCCTGGGGGCTCCCTGCTACCTGAGCATTCAGCTTTCCGAGTCCATTTCTGTCTCTTTTCCCGCAAAGCCTTTTAACTTCCTACCTTACCCTTTGGCCCCAACTTTTCCCTTTTTATCTTTTATTTCACCGACATCATGTTCCACGGTTTATTTGCACTTGCACTTCTCTGACTTGGTCTTTATTTCTAGAACATTCCTTTTCTTTCGCCACCCCCCTTCTGTCCATTCTCCTCACTTTAAAGCCACCCCACCTCGGATGCACGATGTCCCTTCACAGCTCCTGCCCTGGTTTCGTTTCTTCTGGCTTGTGTTGAGATGGGAGCTCCCTTCCTGGCTTCCCTTGGCGACTGGGCCTGTATTCCCGTGCACCTTCATTGTCTGTGGGGATGCCATGTGCTCTCTGGGACTTAGTGGACTCCATGTTGTCTTCTTTTCTGCTGCTCATGGGAAAGGCTTGTGCTCTGAGGACAGAAGGGCTCAGAGGGCTGTGGGAACTGTCTGAGCCTGCACGTCTGTCTTTCCTGGGAAGGTTCACAGATAGCCACCTCCTACTCACCATGGCCTGGCGCTCTGTCCTGCTCCACCGTCCCCCTAGGTATCTTCCTTTAATGCCCACCAGCCCTGAACTCATGCTCTGGTTCCTCCCTCGGCTGCCATTCTCCATGACCTGAGCCTGAAATTCCTACTGAATTTGGGGCCATCAGGCCCCTCTCCATCCCTCTCATTATCATTTCTATTACACCAACTTGTGGCTCCCAGCAGCTTGCTCTATGGAAGACATTCTCTGTGGTGTTGGCTTTTGTTGTTCTAGCCTTGTTCTTTAAAAAAAAAATTATTTTTAGTTTATGTGTATGAATGTTTGCCTGCATGTATATCAGTGTATCGCTTATGCAGCTGGTGCCTTCAGAGGCTGGAAGAGGGCATCTGATTCCCTGGAACTGGAGTTATAAATGGTTGTAATCCTCCATGTGGGTGCTGGGAACCAAACCTGGGTTCTTTGCAAGAGCAGGGAGTGCTCTTAATCACTGGGCTGCACTAATTTTCTGTTTCCCAAAATTTTATTTATTTATTTATTTATGTATTCATTCATTCATTCATTCATTCATTTTTTCATTCATTTAGTATGTATGGGTGTTTTGCCTGCATATATGTCTGTGCACTATGCATGTAGCCCCTGCTGAGACCAGAAAAAAGTGTGTCCCCTGGGAGTTACAGATGATTGTGAGCTGCCATGTGGGTGCCGGAATTAAACACAGGTTCTCTGGAAGAGCAGCCAGTGCTTTTAACCTCTGAGGCACCTCTCCAGCATCTTTATTGTTTTCCTTGCTGTGTGCATGTACTGTGCCATAGAGTACACGTGGAAGTCAGAGGACAGCTTGGTAGAGCTGATTATTTCTTTGCACCTTTATGCAGGTTCGGGGTCTTGAACTCAGGTTGCCAGGCTGTGTTGCAAACACCTTTACCTGTTGAGCCATCTTGACTGGCTAAAAACTCACCCTTGAGTGAACCCCTTAATCTTTCCAGAGGACATACCAAAAGTTGGCCTAAGGCACTCCTACAAGGTCTTACCTCTTAAAGGAATTACCACCCTGTACACTCCCACCCTGAGGACTGAACCCCCAGTACTCAAGCCATGCATGTGTGGATGGATGGGTTACCATTTCCTCACTACATTTGTTATTTTTGCCGACACAGTAACAGGGTAAGATGGTAGCTCACTGTGGTTCTGATCTCGATGGTTAGGGATGTTGTACGTTCTTCGTACACCTCTTGTCTTTTGTATGTATTCTTAGGAGAAGTGTCTATTCAAATTATTTACCCGTCTCTAAATGAGATTCATTTTCTCCTTTCTCCTGAACATTTTGAGTTCCTTGTGGAATCTGGATTTTAGTCTCTTATCAGTGAGTAGTCTGGAGAGAGTTTGCAGGTTGTCTCTTCATCTTGATGATGATGATGATGATGATGATTATTATTATTTGCAGTGCAGAATCGTCTCAGTTTTTTTTTATCTTCTAATTTGTCTATTTTTACTTTTGTTGTCTGTGCTTCTGGGGTCTTATGGAAAAGTCTTTGCCTAGCCCAATGTCTTGAAGGATTTATCCTACTTCTTCTAATAGTGTCGTGGGCTGGCATCTTACACGTAGGGTTTTGATCCATGTTGAATTGATTTTTATGCATGATGAGAGGTAGGATCAAGAAACACCATGGGATTTAAGCACAACGTCAGGCAAGGGGCAGGTACCTCATTAGGTGCCAGGGACATGGTGACAGCACTTTCATCAGTTCCGGGCTCTTTCTGAAGTCTGACTATGTTCCTGGACTAATTGGTCCTTTGGACTAATCTTATGGGTCTTGCCCCAGGCTGGGAGCTAAGCTGGGTCCAGAGGGAGCGAAGTTCTGTGGCATCCTCAGGAAGTCCGTGTGCCCGAGGAGCTGTCAGGGAGAAGCCGCTGACTCTGGACCAGGATGTGCAGAGTAGAAGAGGATAATTTTGCATGCCTCATTCTGATGACTGAATCCTATAAATGAGTTGCTTTCTGAAAGCCTGAAACCCTCAGGAAGGTTGAGGAGGAAACAAGGAGTCAGAACTCACGCCAAGAGCTATAAATGTCCTCGTCTGGGGTCATTATCCTCTGCCTATGGGCACTCACTTGGCAGCTCACAGCGAATCAGTCACATCCACCAGTCCAGGTGGACGCACTGGTTATTTAATTAATTGCATGTACATAGTTCAAGGTCCTGGCTCTCATGTTGGGTGTCTGCCAAGCTCTCCATAGTCTAGAAATATCCCAAGGAACTTTTCTGACTTATAAATAGAATCATTATAATCTCACCTCCCTTGTTCTGTTGCCAAAGCTTCTCATTGGTCGCTTTGAACAACAGCAACCGACAAAAGCTGCAAAGCCCTTCCAGCGCACGCACGGCCTGTGGACGGCACTTTCTGTGCTTCTGAGATCCGGTCAGGTGGAGGAGTCTGATACCAGCTCTTTATCCTTCCCCTTGCCCGGCTGCAGTGCTTGAGATTACAGGCCTGTGCGCCTCCACCACCCCACCGTAGGTAGGGCTGGCAGTCAAACCCAGGTCCTCTGGGGTGCCAGCTCAGCCCTCTACCCACTGAGCACATCACCAGCTGTTTTATATGTTGAGAGTGTTTTATTCATAAAGAATGTGGGCTAAGTTTCATAGCGGTCATGACCCTGTACCTGATCAATAGGCGAGCCACCTTTATGCATCATGGTTGAAGGGTCAGAGAAGCTTTTCCAGGATCTTCCAGTCTATTAGGAATTTCACACTGACGTTCTGGTCTTTGGGATCCAAAGTAGCCTGGAAGGTAGAGCTGGCTCTTGATCTTCTGAACGTCATGCTTTCCCGTCTGTGCCACGTCGTTTCCCACAATTCTCAACAGCATTCCGTCCATCTCCCACTAACCCTACCCAGCTTTCCATCACCCTAACAGCAGAGCAGTCTTCAGTTTTATTATCGAGCCGTTCTTCAGCCTCGGACTGTGGGCTAGCAATGCAGGGATAGACTCCTCATCTTCTTCCTCCTCACTTCCTCCCTCCTCCCCCTTCTTTTCCTCTTTTCTTCCCTCTCTTCTTCCTTTTTAAATTTTTTCTTCCTTTCTTTCTTTTCTTGTTTTTTTGGGGGGGCAGGGGGGGACAACAGGTCTTGTTATACATCCCAGGGTGGCCTGGAGCTCTTGATCTGCCTCTTCTAGTCTCCTGATGCTGGAATTGCAGGTGTGCACACTGGCTCCCAGATCCCACTTCCAGCCCCACCTTGACTCTCTTTTTTCCTAAGTTGCATCTTTCAGGGTTCGTGTGAACACACCTTTTGATGATTTGCACACTGGCGTCTTCCTTGCATTTCCATTTCCATCCAGGTTTTCCTGTGTCCTTCTCTTCCCTACTATGACTCAGGCCTCTTCTTTGATTTCTCTCTTCCTCTGGCACATAGCTCTGCGTAGTTCACTTTCTTTCTCTCCTTCTCTCTAGCAAAAATTTCAGGCACACCTAACTTGCAGACAATAGAAGCAACTATAGTAATTTAAATCAGAAAAGGAATTCAAGATGAAGAATTGGGTGCTTAGGAACTTGTTTCAAAATCGGAAGCTTTGTTTCTCAGTGTCTGCTCCCCAGAAGCTCACTGAAGAACTGGGGTAACAAAGGAGCTGACAAGGAACAGCTTCAGAATCCAGCCAGCAGATTCCAGGATCATCCATGTTGGCTGCACTCCAGGATCAGGAAGCCATACCCACGACACTGCTCCTCAGACCCAAGATCCTTCAGCACCTTGCAGGAAGGAGTTGCTGCTGTGGTGGGAAGTAGCTGTGTCCACGTTGCTGTCTCTTTCTCTGCATGGCTAGGCTCATGGGAGGGCGATGTGCCTGGAAGAAGATATGGCTCGGAGTGAGGATCAACAGTATTCATGGGCAGTGGAGAAGGTATGGTCAGGGACTCAGAGAGCTGGGAAAGATACAAATGGGTGATTGGTGATAGTGTGGCCTGAGGAATGGGGATGGGGTGAATCCTGAAACTGTAAGGATTTTGTGTCCTTGGTCAGTGCTAGGTAAGTTTGAAAGAGGTTCTCAGTAATCAGGAAGGCATCATCAATCCAAAAACAGTTCTCAACTCAAAGGGGGTAAGAAATAGTTTATTCTGGAACCAAAATATGAGTGGTCATGGGCCAGAAAAACAGAGCTTCAGGTTACCCACTTTCTAACAAGGAAGCAGGCACGTGGAGTTTTATAGTAATAGAACAAAGAAAGTAATAAATTGGGGCATTTTAAAAATACTTTGGTGGAAACATCAGAGAGTTTGGGGAATTTCAGCTGTAAGCCTAAGATATTATCTGAGAGTATTCCTAGCCCTTCTATTGGTAGAGGATAGAGTTTTGTTAAGTTAATATATTCCAAAGGTTTATATCTATTTACCAGGATGTTAGGTCTACGGAGGCACGAAAGGAATGGCTATTTGGTAAGCTAGAGATTGCTGGAGATAAATTGTAATTAGGCTCAAAACCATGACATTCCAAACTCTTCACAGTCTTGGAAGTTTTAGCCAGTCAGCCTCTGGAGATGCAACTTCTTTTTGGGAATTATTGTTCATAACACCATGATCCATTCTGTGGATAATGGTCAGACACTTTGTTCTCATTCTATAAGTCGCCCAGTGATCTCTCAGAGATGGAGGTTACATGTGGGCTTGGTAACACAAAGTTTCCTTCACTATGGTGGTTCTGTAGCCTTCTATCCTTTAGAGTCCAACAGCAAGATTCCAGTGGCTGGTTCTCCCTGGAGTGCTGTGGTGGTTTGAATGAGAATGCTTCCATAGGCTCATGTATTTGAATGCTCGGTCCCCAGTTGGTGGAACTGTTTGGGAAGGATTAGGAGGTGTGACCTTATTGGAGATGTGTCTCTGGGGACAAAATTTGAGATTTCAAAAGTCCAAATCATGCCTAGTTAGCTCTCTTTGTCTCATGGTTGTGCCTGAAGATGTGAGCTCTCAGTTACTGCTTCAGCACCATGCCTGCCAGCCTGCTGCCATGCTCCCCACCGTAATGGTCATGGACTCACCCTCGGAAACTGTAAGCCCCAAATAAACTATTTCTTCTATAAATTGCCTTGGTCACGGTGTCTCTTCAAAACAATAGAAAAGTAACTAAGACAAGGACTCTCCATCATTTCATTACACACAGAGGGGTCACCAACATTCATGGACTTCTTCCTGTCTTATTCACCCCAAATTACTTTTAATGGAGGCGGTGTGTGTTGTCACTCTGGAGAGGCTGTCCAGAGAGAGTGCTAGAATAGCCCACCAAGGTGGTGGGACGGTTTCTGCTCTTATTCTTAGCTTGCTTTCACTCTTTCCATCCTATCCCTCTGCTCTCCTTGCTCCTACATTTTCTTTTTCCGGTATGTTCTATGAGGTACTGTTGTTCTACTTCACAATCAACCATTCTCTCCCCCACCCCCACTTCATCATATTAACTGAAGCTTTGCTCTCAAAACTCCATGTATTTTCAAGTTGTAGAATCCCCGCTCAGCCTAGCGTGTGCTAAGATGCAATTGGTCGGCGGTTAAAATGCGGGAGCCAGGGCCTTCCTGGCTTGAGGTCTGGCTGGAGTTCGATGTTCAGCTGGTGTCTTGGGGACGATCTCTGAAGCTTCTCCCTGCAGTGGCCCTGCTCTTTGGTAGCATCCCTCTGTGGCCTTAAGAAAACGACTGGCAGCTAGAGACCGAACAGTCTTACAGATGCGAATCTCACCAGAGCAGCCCAACCACTCTCAAACAGAAAGAATCAAAACAGCATCCAATGGGGTTCTGTGCCCCACTTGGGCCACGTGACTATCCTTAACTTACCCTGAATAACCTGGTGACCTCTCAAGAGGCATGCGATTGAATCACACAAAGCTGTGAAGGGGTCATTGAGACAGAGCGTTGCAGAAGTGCATTGTGAGACCCCTTCCTCAGCCTTTGTTCCCTCCTCACCACGGATCCTGGCTCTAGCTGTTCATGGCCTGTTTCTTGCTGCTGAATGTGCCTGTCCCTAAGGACTTGAATTTACCCATACAACCAGCACCCTGGTCCAGAAATAGAACTTGCCTCTCTTCTGGAGGCTCCGTGTGAGATGCTTCCTGATCACACTTGGTGTGTGAAAGGCAAAACAAAGACGCTTTGAGAAAGCAATGGAGGGAACCATGAGCTTGAACCCTGGAGGAAAAGCCTAACACAGCCAACTACATTAAAGCGAGGAGTGTCTGCCTGTCAAGGAGTCCTTCAGGAAATACTGAAAAAAATAAAGACTCAGACAGTCCTGGGGGATGTCAAAAGGTGACAGGATCCCACTGGAGAGAGAGAGCTCTTGGCATCTAGAGCAGGAACAATATGAGCAACAAAGTAAACAATAATAGAACTGGATTATGAACTAAGGCATAAAACAAATAGCCATGGGTATGAGCCGATAACTGACTAATACATAAGAGTGCAATGGGGGGAGGGACATGTGCTTTGAGAAGAGGGATCCCAATGGATGCAGACACCAGCTCCTCCAGGCATATCTTCCAAGTCTGGGCTAGACTTAGGGACATGCTTCCAAAGAGGTGAGCATGGAAAAGGAAAGCACTGATATTCTCACGAAGAATTGGTATGCTGAAAGCACATGCCTAATTACCAAGCCAGGACCAGGGCACATTCCAGCAGGGTCCTTCTCAAAACACACATCCTTAGTAAGTCTTTCAAAAACACCAGCCAAAATCCAACTGAGGGACATTCTGCCAAATACCCAATCAGTAGACTTCAAAAGTGTCAAGATGTTGAAAAACAGCACCCGTGTTTAATTTGAGGATACAGACTTAGACAGAGGCAAAAACAAATTCTATTGAGGGTGGGGAGGTGGCTCAGTGGTTAAGGGCATTTGCTGCTCTTTTGGAGGATGGATATTTGGTTCCCAGCATCCACACTGGGTGGTTCACAGTTGTCAATAACTCCATCTCTGGGGATCAAACACCCTTTTTTGGTCTCTGTGGGCACCTGCACTCATATGTATGCAATATGTACACACACACACACACACACACACACACACACACACACACACACACACACACTATCCTGTGACTCAGAACTCATTTTACAGAATGAATTTTTGTACATACAGGAAAGAACCTGAGGTCAAAGAAGTCATGAGGAAGAAGAGATAAAAATTATGTCAAAAAACCCCAAAAAACCCAAAAAACTAGAGGAGGCAAGTAAATGAGATGTGATGACCTGGTTGTCCTGTGGTGACTCAGGAGAAGAGCATTATGGAAAACTGGCAAAATGCAAGTAGTCTATACTTAATAGAGTTGCACAAATGTTGATTGCTTTATCTGGATGGATGCACCATGGCAATTTACCACGTTGACATTGGAGAAGCTGGATAAAGGGCACAGAGATTCTGTATCATCCTTAATATTCCTCTTCAAATCTAAAATTTTCCAAAACAAAACTATTAAAAAAATACATACTTAAGAGAGAAAAATGCTAAGCCATAGAGTTTAAGATGTCTGGAGTGCATCTAAACCTGAAAAAGACTATTCAGAGCCTGTACAAATCTTTACAAATTGATAGGCCAGCCAGAGCTACATAGTGAGAGCCTGTTCAAAAATAGAAAGCAGATAAACGAACAGGAAACCCACAGTAAGAGGGAAACCGTATGTGGTGGGTCACATCTGTAATCCCAGCACTTAGAAGGCTGAGGCAGGGGTTAGGACCAGCTCGGGCTACACCAGGACACCTCATCTCAAAAAGGGGACAAACAAAACAGTCGGGCAAAGGAATGTCTGGTGTCCGATAAAATGTGAAGTGTGCTTTGTCTCCATAGAGAAGGCAAGCAAGGGATCTCACCACATCCTCCTGGCTGCTGAGGTCTGCTCACACTCCAGTAGGACCGACCAGTCAGAGCTCTTTCATCTCCTCCTCTGTCTTCCTCTGTTCGCTCCTCCCCTGCTTGCTCTCTTGATCTGAGCCTCTCCCCCTAGCCAGCTGTGCTCCCCACTGCTCACCCCAGTGCTGTCCTCCTTTCCATGATAATTTTAGTTTTGATCTGGCTCCTTCCTGCATCTTGTCAGCTTGCTTTTCATATCCTCCTGTTTTCTTACTTGGGCTGTTGCTTCATTAACTCTGAAAAAAAAAAAAACAAACCTGTGGTGAAATATTTGGATGTGATTTTCATCCACCCATCACCAACTCCTCTCTAGACAGGGTCTCACTATGTAGTTCAGGCTGCCCTGGAGCTCAAGGTCCTTCTGCCTCTACCTTCCAAGTGCTGAGATTCCAGGTGTGTGCTACCATCCCAGCCAAATGGCTATTTTATATATTTGTTTATTTAGTTTATAATCTAGTGCAATTAGTACTTAGTGGCTTGAATTGTTATGGCTTTAGCCACTAAGCTCCCTTTCTTATTAAATCCTGTGTGGGCCCTTAACATACTGGGCAAGCACTCTTACCACTAAGTGACACCCCAGCCCATGCCACCAATTTTGATGAGTGTTTTTATTACTATTCTATCATTTTTTTTTTTTTTTGATTTTTCGAGACAGGGTTTCTCTGTGTAGCTTTGCGCCTTTCCTGGATCTTGCTCTGTAGACCAGGCTGGCCTCGAACTCACAGAGATCCGCCTGCCTCTGCCTCCCGAGTGCTGGGATTAAAGGCGTGCGCCACCACTGCCCGGCTATTCTATCATTTTTTATGACACAGCATTTTACATAAATCTCAGTGTTACTCTTCTTTGGAGCAAAGAAATTTTCTTGGCCCTGATTTCATAGGCCTGTGAGAATTAGGGGTCAGGGCCGTTCCATGGCAGGCTGGTGAACTTACGGTTGCTCTTCTTGGATTCATCTTCCCCGACACTGACACACGTGAATGCTCATAACTTTTCAGCTACCTCTTGCAATGGGGAACTTGGAATGAAATTATAGACCGAGTGTTGGAGACTCTATAGCTGCAGTGATTTTTGACAAAGATCCCTTAAAGACCCTCGTGTTGGTCTTTGAAGCTGTGCCATTGAGAGGCGGTGCGATTTTTGAGAGGAGGGGCTGGGTGGGAGGTCTTTAGGTCATTGGGGGGTGTGTCCTCAAAGGGGATGGTGAAACCCTAGCACCTGCCTTCCCCTTACCCCCAATTTAATTTTTAAAATTCCTTTTTAAAGGTTCACTTGTGTGTGTGCCTGTGTGTCCGTCATGGCACACCCAAGGATGTCAGAGAATGACTTATGGGAGTTGCTTCTCTCCTTCCAGCAAGTGAGTCCGGTGACTGTGCCAGGCCCTCGGGCTTGGCGACACGCACCCTTGCTGGCCGGGCCATCTTCCTTTCTCTTCTGCGTCCTGTCCGTGGGGTGAGTACTTTTGCTCCGTCCTGGGTTCCTGCTGGGATGTGTCACCACAGGCTCAAGGCAAAAGGGCCGATCTACCCTGGACTGAAACCTTCAAAACCTCTCTGCTCTGTAACTTGATTATTCCCTGGAAAGCCAGCCAGCATACCAGCTCAACTTCTCTTTGTGGGAATCTGACCTTCGATTCTCTTCTGTGAGAAAGCAAGAGGCTCCAAGGCACGGCAGGCCTAGGATTGGGCACGGGACGGCCTCTCCAGTCACAGACTTCCTCAGCCATATGAGGCCACTGGGGCTGGGCGAAGTGTCGGGTCTCTAGGTATCTCTTGGCCGAGAAGACTAGAGACTGGACAAGAGGGCTTTGAACGTATAAGCAATGCCTGAGTGAAGTTCTCCAGGCTGGACAGAGGGGAAGAAAACCAGTACATAGAACCAGTTAGGTCCATCCCTTAGAGAAAGAGACCGATGTCGAACGGTGCAGATGGGTAGATTTGTGCTAGAGCTGAGTTTGCATGCGCTGGATGTGCGGCCTTGCCCACAATGCATCTAGAAAGCGTGAGTGGTATGACTCCCCACAATGCATCCAGAAAGCGTGAGTGGTATGACTCCCCACAATGCATCTAGAAAGCGTGAGTGGTATGACTCCCCACAATGCATCTAGAAAGCATGAGTGGTATGACTCCCCCTGTGCTTACGCTCATCCGCAGGCTGCAGTAAAAGCTTGGCGCATACTTGGTTGATCAGAGTGAGCTGCATGGCAGGCAAGGACCACAACTCCGAAGCTCAGCCTACCACCCTGGCAGGGAGAGGGTCTCTTGTGTCTGGTGGCTCTGTGCTCTCCAGTCAGGCTTCCTTCGGGCGCTTTCACGCATATTTCGTCTCGGCTGACATTCCTTCCCACCTCTTCCTGTCCTCATCTCCCCACTCCCATCTCACTGGAAGCCTTCCACCACAGGTCTCCTTCCACTGGTGTCATGTGTCCTACCCTGCCCCCCTTCTTTAAAGCCTGCCCCCGAGGCGTGATAACTTTTTGCCTTTGTATTACCTTTGAGTGAATAACTCATAACAACCTCTTCAATGGATTCCGACATTGTCTCAGCAGTAATAATAGGAAAGGGCTGGGGGAGGACCAGGGTCACCTAGAGGGCAGGAACATGATGGTAAGCCTGCCAGTGAGGAAAGCTAGTTCCAAAAGAGGGTTTCTAAAGGAACCAAGAACAGGATGAGAAAGAGGAGTTAAAAGCCCCAGCTAGGCTGGCAGTGAATGCAAACTCTGCGCTACTGAACCGTTCCAATGGGTCTGTGAATCCTGAGGTTCTGTGCACCGCTTCCCAGGAGGATGGCCCTACGGGGCGCAAGCAGGCTCTGCTTCACCGGACAGTGTCTGTGCTTGGGCTAAATCTGTCTTCTTTGTTCGTTCATTCCTCCTCTTTCTCTGTCATCAGGCCCGTAAGTCCAGCCCTGGCGGTGACTCAGATATGTCAAGTCAGGCACATTGTTTGGGAAGAACACCCCTAACATCTCAGTCGCTCCCTGAAGGAGATAATCCTGAGATGTTGACAAGCAGGGAGCAGAAGGCCTCATCAGTGTCCTCAAGCTGCTGGCCTCAATGAGTCTGCAGAACTCAAGCCTTGAGCGCTCCTGTGGGGAGAGAACAAGGGCCCCACAAGACTTGGGGTGCTTGAGCACGAGAATCAGCACAAATGGGAAGAGACGGGTGCCTTCTGGGCCAGACATGAGTCAAGGAGATGACCTTAAGAGAGAGAGATGGGACAGGACTTGGGGATAGAGCTCCGGCAAAATGGAGGTCAGAGATAGGAGAGGTGACAGTGCCCACTCGGGACAGGCTGGAGAGCTGGACACTGAATCTGAGTGATGTGAGCAGTCAGGTCACCAAATGTGCTGACCAGTCATCAGGGAGGGCCACGGGGTCTCACAATAGCTGAGGGGGCAATGTCCTTCAGTGTTAGCCTCGTCCCTGGATTGCATCTTGTGCTTACTATACTGTGATAGATTAATGATTTTACTGGGGGAGAGAATGTGGAGGTGGCGATGTGAGAATGGCAGAGACCGGAGTTGGAACCGATACACGGAGAGGGGGAACGGGGAGGGGGAGCGGGGAGGGGGACGACACGCGGGGGCTCACATGTCAGTCTAAATAAGCTGAGAGGTGTCAACTGTTCCCCACTAGATGGTACCTGTGGGTGCTATGTACCGTGGAAAGTTACCATTCCTGTCTGTTTTCTGTTCTTTCTTGTTAGTACAACCCAGTGCACTAATTCCCTTGTAGCTAACTAAGGTCACCACCGGCCACAGTTTGGGCCAATACAATGTAGGTCAAAGTCCTTGGGGAGAGTTGTTCTTTTCCCCCAAGGACAATAAACACTAAGTCTTGCTAGAGAAAGTGGTATTGATACTGGCCGGGTGTGGTGGCGCACGCCTTTGATCCTAGTACTGGGAGGCAGAGCCGGCGAATCTCTGAGTTCAAGGCCAGCCTGGACTATATAGCTAGTTCCAGAACCACATAGAGCAGAACATGGATGTGAAGAAGGGAAGTGAATCAGTCATTTTTGTGGCAATGATAAAAGCCACACAAAGGATGCCAGCGGAAGAGATAAGGGGGATCCTGTCCCCTGATTATGTCACGAGCAGCTGCCTCAGCCCTGAGCTGCCTTTTTGTGAACACTGTGGCAAACTAAGCTCTTATCCCTGCCACCCAGAGCGGGCAGGGCTTTCTGTTTTTGCAACAGAGCATATTCTTCATGCACACAGGTACCACACGGAGTTTTTCAACCAGCAAAGCTGAGAAGGAGAACGTAGAAGGTGGCTAACCCACAGGAATGCATCCACAGGGTTCTTTGATGGCCATCTGTGGGGACATGTTTCCATTTTCTCCTGGTCTTGAACATAGCTTGTGTACTTTGTGAAAGCTGAGACAGAAGAATGAAATTTAAAGAACAAAGGGGAAAAAAAGCCCCACAAAACCATTTATCTGGGGTAACCGTCACTGTAAATGTGGCGAACGGCCTCAGAGGTTTGTGGGTCAGACAGTGATGTTTTTCTCACATAAATGGGACTGCATTTTGGGCCTTGCCATTCACTCAACAATTTATTGTGGACCCTTTCCAGTGATGTTGCCAAGGAAACTCATTCTGTTATCAGATTTCATTAGGTCTGCATTATTAATCAGTACCAGGATTTCATTGGTTTGAACAGCCAACAGTGTTAAAATATCAATTGGCATCTCAGTTTTGTTAATGAGCATAGGGCCGATGGGAGGTTATGGGAAGCACTTTGGAGAGCTTTGTGACTTTTACCTATCGGGCAAACCCTGGGCATGGGATTGCTTGCTCAGGGAGAGGCGTGTGTGCCGGGTCTTACACGTGCGCCAGCTGCTCCCTGGTGTGTGGACCTGTCTCCTGAACCTGTCTTCTGGTGTTTCCAGAAACTGTCTCATTTTACTGATTTGGCCTTCCACAAGTCCAACTTTCTGATTCTAAACGGGTCCTGCTGTAGCTCAGCGGGGTTCAGCCACCTCTAATGTGCTCGTCAGACAGATATTCCAGCTCTGTCACCCTCTCTTCCTCCTTTTCTTCTTGCCACGGGGCCTTGGTTTATTTCCCAAGCTGGTCTGATTTTGAACTTGCTGTGTAGCTGAGGATGACTTTGAACTCCCGATCTTCTTGCATTTATTTCAGGGATTATAGGCATGCGCCACCACACCTAGTTTATGCAGGACTGGGTGCAGGACCCAGAACTTCCTGCATGCTAGGCAGGCACTCTACTACCTGAGCCATCCTTAGCCCCAGCATCACATTCTTTACGCCCACAATTCTACCTTTCTGGAACCACACTCGAGGGAGGCTTTCTTCTTTGTGGACTCAGATTCCATTTCCTGTTTGGGCTTTGATTAAGGTCGACTGCTAAAGGCCCAGTTCTCTAAGAGAAACAATGGAATGGGTTTTCTTAACAAGTTCCTTTTACTTTCCATCCAAGCTGCATGTATTCAGACCTCCACAAGTGCTCTTCCAGACATCTGCCTCCCTGCAGAGAATGCTCCGGAAAGCTCTGACCAGCACCCGCCCCACCCCCAGCATCTCGGAGATGTTGCCTGTGGGAACTGGTATCACACAGCCTTTGCTTTGCTTTCTTGGGGTATGTAAGCTGTGCCCCGTTTTTCTGGCCAATTTGATTGACAGTGAGGACAATGGATTTCAATGTTCCTGCCCTCATTAGGGGAATTGTAGCTGCTCCCTTAGCTCTCCAGCAGAGATGCTATGAAGAAGCCGGCTGTAAAGTTCTCTACTGTGACAATGTGAGCCCGCAGAACAAAGAACATCCTGTGCCTTGTTCTCATCACTGGACTAAACCACATCAAGTATCTTGTGGGACCAGGACATCCTAAGCCTTGGGGGAACCAGGTTCTCTTAGTGATGGGTTTCAAAATCCATATATGGACAGGTGAGAATTCACATTTAATTAGCACATGCCTGAGAATGCTGCCAGCTCACCACTTGGGAGTTTCCCTGATGTACCTGCATGCCAGCCCTCCCCGCAAGAAGAAAGGGAGGGTTGACTAAATCTTCCCCCATCCCCTGGTGCATGACACACTGTTCCTTTGAAAGACAAATTCTTCCATTTCCATATGCAGTGGAGACAAGGTTGCTCCCCATCCAGTCTCCCTTGCCAAAGGAGCCTGCTTGGCCTCTAGGCCAGCCCTCTTCCATTGTTCCCAACAACTCTACTCCCCCACCCCTAAACATTATTGCTACCTGTTTCCATCTGCTTTTGACATTTCCAGTTAACTCCCACGAAATTAGAGGCTCCTTGGGCCTCTAGGGTGCCGTCTGCTTGAGTCTCGGCTTCTGTTCTGAGCATTGCTGCCAGCCTCCTTGGCTGGCTCTCATTTCTCCTCCTGCAGGAGGATACTTCCCTCCAGCTTCACCCGTGTGGAGGGCGATTCTGGCTCCAGTTTAAGAGCTCAGTTACTTGCATGACCAAGGCATCTTTGTGAGGACACATGCCTTACCCCATGGCACGAGGCCGTGTGTGCATGCCTGCATGTGCCCACACGTACACACACATACTCGCATGTGCCAGGCTCTCACATAGGTAGGAGTCAGATTGCTGTGACTCTCTCTGTTCTAACTGTGTGGGCCTCTTCACTATTCGAAAACAACAAGGCTCCTCTTACCTCAGGATCTTAGTGCTTCGAGGCTGCTCTCCCCACATGTTCCCCTTGTCAAAGACCTCCAGACCCACCTACATGAAGGAGCAATCCATGTGCTCACCTTCAACATTTCTCCTTTGGCCTCTACCACCACTTAGCTAACCTATGGAAGTTTCTAAACCTTTATCTCTCTGTCTACACCAGTTTCTCCTTTCTTTACTGTATTCATTTCTTTATTGTCTCTCTCCACAAACTCTTTTCTCAGTTGATAGGCATTTTGTCCAATAGTTAGCTGCTGACTAAACAAATCCTTCTTGGTATACAGTAGGAGCGAATGTGTGGATCCAGGCTGTTAGTTGCAGAATATCTCCAACTATGATAAAGGGAAAAATGATTTATTCAGGGAATCGGGCAGATTGCAGAGTCAGGACTCTGGGAAGAGGTAGATTCAAGCTGCAGCTTCCAGAAATGTCTGCCAGCAGAGCTGGCTCTAGCCTCTGCTGCAGTTAGCAGGCTGCTACCACAGCCGTGGGCTGCAAAGGTGTGCTGAGGCTGTTCTCTCCTTCAAAGGTGTGCCAAGTCTGTTACCATCCACTATGGCAACTTCGTGCTTTTTCCCCCTAGGAACTCGGATCTGAGTTCCTAGGTGTTGTGAGGGTGTACATGGGGCGGAGCCAAAATCCAGTGTCTCTTCTGTAGTGACAAGGCCTGGAAATGGGCTCCCCCACCATTCAGTATTAGGAAGGCAATATTCATTGTTGTTGGGTGTTTTTACTCTTTTTCTGGGGGGCCCGCCACC